ATGCCACGAGATCGCCGGCAAATAAACCTCGACTTGGTCCATTAATTGCCTTCTGATATTCGGCTTCTCGGGGATTTTATGGAGTCATTTGGAACGAGCTTCTTACGCCTTCTGATTCATTTGGCACGTGTTTCTTTGTAGTGGTGTTCATAGTTAACCTCAACTCGACGCCACGCTACAATTGGTAATCTCAATTCGAATACAGAATTACCACATACAAAAGATTAGATTGGTTCAAGTATGCATTTTGCACACAAATCGCTCAATGTCTTATGTACTTCTTCTCAAAAACTATAAAACATCATTCGTCTTTTAAGAAAGACTGGATCACCTCGTACTTGAGGTTTTATAATTTGAATTCTCAAACCTCCACTGCAAGTACAGCACAAAGCTATCAAATCTTTAAGCAAAACATCAGAATCTTCTTTATAAACTAATGAAGACAACTCCAGTTTAAGCCTTCCAAATTTTGAAAACACAGTATTGACTGTCCTGCATCACTAACTAAACACTCATAGGGCATGCATGAAAAATCGTCATCTCTAATTAGCAATTCAGAACATTCTCGTACATGCAGTTTGTGTTCAGTAATCCCCAATGACGATACTTTGGTGGGTCGCACTACAGCATTAGAATCTAAAGATTTCGGATAAAGACAGCTGATTATTAGAAGCACCCAAAGTAATAAAATTCGGACTACGCGGCTCATAGTGATTAGTGGCAAAACGAACTATGGACCTGAAGACCGACTTGATGTGTTCCATTTTACATATCTAAAGCAATCAATTGTTCATGAAGTCTAATTTCCAATTGGTCTCAAAAATTGCACTTTGCTGCCTGTTTCTGTAGTTCAAGTATAAAAACTTTAACCTCTCGACCATTTGGTCGTATCACTTTTTTAAACTTCGATCTTCTTCTGCCTTCGAAGCAAGCACACATGATCAATCAGTAATTTCATGAGAGATTCACCTGATAACGAAATTTGCTTCCCTGGAGAAGCTAGATTCTTTATTAGGTTACAAGATCTTTGCAAAGGTGTAATATAGCCTTACTTCGAGTTATGGTTGTTATGTCTGGTCGTCACTAGTTACTTTTTGGAATCGCTTATCACTTATACATAAGCCACTTATTCTGAGGAATTAGCCCATATTTAGTCACAAAACATAGGAAATTCATTTTTTTGCTCATTGTGATATAACAAAAATACATTTACAGCTAACTTTCTACCATATTTATTTAAAACTATCAAGTCCAACCTTGGTATTGGTACACATACCACAATGAGTAATTACCACATTGAATTGAGACGGCAGTAATGGTGCATAAAAATCACATTAAGTAAAAGAGTGTTATTTCGCTTTTTAATCCCATCATATTGCTGACAAACTCATTGAATTCAGCATATCTTTCATCATCAGTTTCCAATACTTACGAGATCTCGAAAATAGGAAACCACTATGAAAAATAACTGCAAGTGGACTAAAGATGCACCAACTTGAACGTGCTAGGAGGTACCGAGACGCAAGAAGCATCATCATAAGGAATGGATCCCTATCCAAACCCCGAATAGCATTCAAGGAAGGAAGAACAAGAAGGCAGCAATTAACAACAGCCGAAGAAGAACAGAGAAAGTCAATGCACAGACCGAATACACAGAAGCGACAAGCAAGTGAAGAGGAGTATTGGAGCTAACAAGCAGAAATACGCGTCAGACTTAGCAACGACAACGGATAAAGCTACAAGAGAAGGAATAATGAAGTAACTACATGACACAATGAAGAAACCAGGTAGATCAGTCTAGGATATCAAAGAAAGGTTATCTAAGTAAATGTGAGTACTAAGGAGGAATCACACGACCATCTGTAACAGTAAAGGTTTTCAACAGGGTGTTGATTAACTGGATGAACGGCTCAGTAAACGCCCGAATTCGAGATCAACAGGCTAGATTCTGTGAGGAACGGTCGTGCACAGACCGAATCGAAGCACTACGGATCATCACTGAACAATCAATTCAAGGAAATTCGTCCCTGTTGTAGTGGCCGGTACTTTTTCAAGCACTTATAGGTTATTCTAGCCTAAAGACAGACCAATTTATTTATTGTTTTCAAGACACATTCTAACCCTGCTGATTATTCGATTATCAAACCTGACTGTTTCTATATGATCGTATCTGTGTGGGTTGTGTACCTTGTTCATCATGTTTCTGTAATTTACTTTTTAGTCTGACCATAAATGTTTAGTAACGCCTGATTAAGTTGAGCTGACTCAGTCTCCTTCTCCACTCCGCTTCATTTGGTTTCGCTTCGTCCTCTCCTGTTTGCCTCCTTCTCTGTGTTTCCCTGATTGTCCGTCTGGATCAACGACAACATGGAGTACCTTCATCATATATATATGGTTCATACATATTGATATTTCATTAAGCTTTGCACTTAATTGAGACTTTCATACCATCACTCCAAACTACGATTGCGCAAACACTTATTCCAACGTCATATCTTACTGCAATAAAAGATTGTTTTTCTCATTTAGTTTCCATTTTATTTTCGTTACTAGCTTGGGTATACATACATAGTCGTTTATTCTTGTTTTGGGTTCATAAACACCCTTATTAAACTATTTGCGTACTTCGTGTCACCTTTATTTCTATTCCATTATTTTCTTCTTTTCCTTCTTTAGACTCAATTCAATATTCTTCTCAATTACACAGAACCTGATTTATTAATATTATTCCATTATCATTATTATCTTTTTTCCTCTTATTCAAATGTCGCAAATATAATACTGATATTATTGAAACTTGTGCATCATTGCATTTTTTTAAAAATCCAAGTGGTTTCTTCGTAACACTTATGTACTCAAAAGATGGTTGTGAATAATGATAATAGCAATACATATCCCAAACGCATTCCCGTGTTTCAACTATCTTGATCCATTGCTCACTAAAGGGGATTAAGTCAGAAATTAGACGCAAGAGCTGGCAACACAAAAATGTCGATAACGGTAAACATATGAGTTAACTCAAGTCAAACAGGGCCACTAAACTATGCATCAGCTTCCGTGACTGTCAGAAAGCGTTTGACAGAGTGGACAGAACCTTATGGAACTTTCTTCAACAGTGTTGTGAGCGGCTGAGAAGATCGCCGACATCATCCCCGATTCACACGACGGACTGAACTCCAAAGTCGTGCATTGGGGACAGTTTTTAGATGCATTCCAAATGAGTATCGGAGTCAGACAGAAGTGCTCACTCTCACTATTTCTCTCTTCTAGTGGTTGATTGAATTGTGGAATACAATGGACAGATTGGATGCAACTAGATGATTTGGACTCTGCAGATGACATAGGTCTTCTATTTCATGCACACCAGCAAATGACGGTCAAAACAACCAGTGTAGCAGAAGACGTTGCATCAGTAGGCCTCAACATACACAAGGGAAAAACCAAGATCATCAGATACGACACGGAGAACACCAACCACACTACACTTCATGGGGAACCTCTGGAAGAGGTGGAAACTTCCGTTTGCCTGGGTAGAAGCATCATCGATAAACATGAAGGATTGGACGAAGAAATAAAGGCAAGGATTGAAAAATCAAAGACAACATTCTTACAGTTAAAGAACATATGGAACTCAAAACAACTGTCTGCAAGCCTATGCTCCTCCACGAGGGGTAACAGGCGTATGTTTCGAGAAGTAAACTATAACTTAAGGTAGACACGAGCTGTCAAGAATGTATAACAACGATCCTACGATTAATTTCGATTATGGTTAACTTTTGTGAAAACCTTCTAATAACTTGTTTAACAGGCAATATTATTTGGACAGTAACGATTTGTCTGTTTCTTTGTACGGTTATGATCACAACATGACTGTATAGACGTGTGCTCTTGATTACATATGACAGCTTACGCACATATCTCTCTAGTCAAAATGTCAATCGATCAAATGTCGCTCGATGAGTCATTCTATATCCCATGTACATATAAACTTCGATCCTATTATTAGCCTTTACCTCGCCTAGCTGCGTTTCATTCGATTTGACCATAAATTTGTCTCTGCATTTTCTCGCACACACATATTCGCTTCAAATTCCCTTGATGTGCCCATAGCTTTGTTATCCGTGCTATCCGCAAATGAACTGTAGTCGTCGCTTCTCATTGCCATCTGATTTTAAACACCATTGGGATTTATATAACAACGGTTATCAGGGTAATTGATTAACAAACCTAAACCACTACATTTGTCACTCACGAAAAAAGCGCTAACCGTATGTGCATTACTTTTGACTGGACATTAAACTTTCGTAGAATTGTTCGCATTCACATTTAATCACACCTTTCGCACAATGAGTTCTTACAGTTATCATTCTGGAGATTTCAGGTCATACTAGCTGATGCACTTAAAATCCCATTAACTGATAATTATGTGGGAAGGCATAAAGAATATGTTTCTACTCACAGAATGCATTTTGAAGGACAAAGTGAACGAGAAAAGAGCACAATATAAGCTTCTTTCATCACCTACTTAAGCTTAGTCCCAATACAAATCTAAGGGGTAACACCCAGAAATCAGGGATATAACATAGCAGAATGAACTGTAAACAAAACTACTACTTAAGAGTTGCCGAATGCTAAAATTTACCGACGACTGAACTAGTCCAAGCGACTTCCCAGGAGTCCTTTAAGAGGAAATTTGACCTATTCTTAAGGACTGAGGATAACACCTTATTATGAGTTACCAATATCTTTTTTTTCTAATCTCTTATGATTAATATACCTAGGTTCCTGCCTAGAGGTATTGATGATCCCCTGTTAAGCGAAAGCTTTTTCTATTCCGTCCACAACCATTTGAACCATTTGCTTTTCCATTTCCACTTTTCCATCCCTCAAAATCCCTCTAAGATGGCAAGAATCATGGAAGTTTAAATTTGAAAATGCCTGGAATTTCGTTTCACCTGTAGGATGCTGAAAAAACGGGATCAGTTGTTTTACCCTACAATATATTGGGAATACTTATTATTGGAAAATGTACACAATATGATGATGTGCGTTACTTATGACTGTAATTATCAATTTACGACAACTAGAGGATACTTGACCTCTAAAGGTCGTGACGCTAAAGAACGTATAGTTTTTAAATTCCACAATATATTCTGCGCAATTATAAGTTTACAACTGTTGTGCTTTAACATTACCGTAACATCTATCTACCTCACTATAAAGTTTACAAAATAGGCACCTTCAGAAATCTTCAAGAAAATATTTTCTCAGAATCTGGTAGGTTTTCAGTCTGAACAAAAGGCATTTTTGACACCGATAGACAAAGGCAGTAGTGTATGCATCACCTTTAATTAAATAATGGGTCATTCGGGTGATGCTTCGCTAAATTTACCTAACGTGTACAATAAATTCAAAGCATGCGCAAACGGTGATAACGTTCTGCTCCCTGAGTATTGTGAAGCATATACGGAGGTTTCTAAGTAAGCTAGATTTTGTTACATGTTTGCAGACTTCTCGTATACTTTGGAAATCTTTTTTATTTCGTGACCAGTGATGTCAATCACAAAATTTCGGAACTCCGCGACCTGTATGCGGCAGATAAAATTAATTATAAATCTGTCGAGCAGATGGCTGTTTATGAGGAAAAGCAGAATGAACACCTTCCAGTTAAAAAGCGGAAATGCGTCGGTTCCCGGACACTTCTCCGACTCCACCGGGCTCTTCTCTTTGTGATCGATTTAATGCAAGAAGTTTGCAGAGGCAAGTTACGGAGTTTTAAATTTATTGGTTCATATCATCGGGATGAGGGAGTTCCTCGTCAGTTCACCTTGGCTAGCTGTAAATAATGTGGGACCTGCCACAAACTTGCGTTAGTTCAGTTCCCATCATCATCTATCACATCGATTAAGTCCAGACCTCACATACGACTTCAGCAAGGAGTCACCAACCCCTAAGATCTATGTTCCTTTTGCCCCGACTATCCTTAGTTTCCTCAAGTCCAATTCTTATTTGTGCATATTTGAGCTGACGATACACTGGTATATGCAGAGTGACCTATCCACCGTAATCGAATTTACAAAGCTGCTGAGATAACCAGGTTTAATGACCTACTATTCATACAAAAGTATTTGCAAGCTTATGGTCATTGTATTACTTAGAGTTATGTCTTTAAGTGCGGAAAACAAACACAACTCGGTCCAAAAATATGTTACTTCACAAAGTACATTTAGTCGGTAACTACGATTGTTTAATTTACTCCGACTCTAAAAGTGCCTTGAGTCTGCAACCACGGTGTTATAGGTTCTATTTGATATATATCATTTTTCCACCTTATAATCTGGCTTAGCACTGCTCTATGGTAGTCAGCGTTAAGACCATAAAGCATATTTTAACGGTTAACCGTGTTTCTGGCCGAACTATTCGTATTACTTTGTTTTTGTATTTAAGCACTTTATTGACACTACGTATAGATTCCATAAGTATTATTAACAACAGGTTGTCTGACACAACTATAACTTATGTAGTGTTCAACACCTGTTCAAACCTGCAGGATTATTATTACCTCTAATATTTAAAATTTCATCAAAATCCATCTATAATTATTCACTCATTTGATTTCTTTCAAGATCTTTTTATCTGATCATTGCCTCAGATTCCACTTTTACAATTCTTCCATGATTTATTATCATGTTTTGTTCAACAAAGTATTAACTCGTTAGTTTTGATTGTGTTAAGTACGAAACATATTAATGCGCTCCAACTTAGAGCAAACACAGATGCTCTTAATGTAACATGCTAAAGGGTAGCATTAATGGTAATTCAGTAAATTATAGTTACATAAAACACTTTTGGTAGCTTTTAATCAATAAAATATGTTGCATACTCAAAAGTCAGAAACATGTACATAATTTCTCCTAAAAGCAGTAATTAACATTAACTCGATTTTCACCTTTTAGTACAATTCAAAGTGTATTTGTTAAATTTTATAGCGCCACCGGATGAACAATTGAAGGTTATTGCTCGGTCAGTGTACGACAAAACCCTCTCTCAATATCATCCATGGCCTATTAGGAAAGCTGTTGGAGTTGCTGTTTATGCTCTTCCTACGCGAGAACATTTGGTTCATCATATCGTCCAATCTCAACCCCCTGGGAGCGGTTTGCTTACAAATGAACAATGTGCAGAGTTTCTCACTTCACATGCTTTACCTGTAATGCGCAAGGTATATGACTGTATTCAAGCTATTTTCGAGAAACACGATATGCTAAATTTACCATAGTTATCTTGATATATACTATTTCAGAACTTAATATTGTTGTACTTCAAAAACAATACTCAAAAAGATAAGTCTTAAAGAAATGAAAATTATTTTCGTATGTAGAAGTTATTTTGCTTTCGTTTTATGTTTTATTTCTATATTCTTAATTTACGATACTATGTGGTTTCCAATGATAGCATATTAGTTTTTATAAATTGGTTAATTATAACACTTCCTCACACATTTAGAAATCTCTATCATTTCTGAGATTTTTAAACATTGATTCATATACCTTGCTTACATTTTCAGTAGATTCTGGTTTGTTTTGTACTCAGTTCTCTTCAAAACATCTAAAAATACTTAGAAACAAATGATGTTTTTCACTTAACTGTATTTATTGTATCATAAGTACAACTGTAGCAAAGCAGACAAATGTGTTTGTTGTATTTTTTATTATAATTAGAATGGGGTTTGTGAAGGTTGTAATTTTAGTAGTTGGATTCAGTGGTGGTCTACCTTACACTGACTCATTAGTTCAACCATTTTTTTATTACATTAAGATATGAAAAATCTCTCGGAAAAATGTACTAGGATAAAAGTCGTTCGCAATAAACCTTTACCATGTTCACTATGCCACATTTCTCTGGTAATATAGACTTGACAATACAATGGTATAAGAACAATGTGCAAAATCCCTAATTAAATTAAGAATTGTAAAATACTTAAGGAAATCCCAATGTCCCGATTTGATATTTTATGACACCATGTTGGAAGTGGAAATTCACCACTTAGAAAATACTCAAATGCTAGTCAGTGGGTAAAACACTTAATAGTGATTTTTAAGTCACTCGTTTAATCCAAACTCCATGTAAATGAAGTTACGTAGTTAGTTGCTGAGGCAGGAGTTTTGGGACATAGACGTAAGGAGTAATCTCGTTGAGTCTCGTTTGCAATTACGTTGGTGTTTTTGAATCGCTTAACGAATTACAGTCTATAGAACTATGCATATTTAGAAACTTGTTAAGGTATTCTATGCTTAACGAAGTCGTTTATGTATTCTATTCTGTAAGTACTCTACTTATTGATTGATAGTATTTCACCTAATGATATAAAAGACTTTAACTGCAAAGACCGAAATGCATGTGTTAATCGTATTTTGTATCAGTGTTAATAAAGATTTTTGAAGTAAACATCCTCTGTGACTAGTCTATAGTCTGCCCTTAGTTTTTGTAGAGCAATATGTTTATGAAGTATTGGAAAAAGATTGTATGAGTAACACAGAACCTGACGTAGTAGTTCTTCAGTTTGAGTTTTATTCTTTCCATCAGTGATTGTACTACCTTTATAACTTCAAGTTTCTGTTAATTTATTACTGGTATATATGGAATTATTAGTTCCTTTATGACCACTTACTCAATTATGTATGGATATAATGTAATGAAATAAAAAGTTACCATAATCATAATATTCCTTATAATTATTTGTTTCCATTTAATCTATTATTAATTGTCACATGTCTGGTATGCAACTTGTAATCAAAGAGAGACTGACTAGTATCGTTGTTTGGTAATTATCAGCTTGTTACATTGTTTATGAAAACGAATTTTATACATATTATATGCTTGTATTGTTTGTGATAGACAACAGTAGCCATTTTAAAAATTAATCAGTATGCTATTAGATTAAATAGTAAGAAACTTAAAATAATTGGGTGTTTAACAAAGGTGTTATACTTTTAAAAATCTAACTGACGAGAACAATTTAATATATGGTCGAAATCGAAGAATATAAAAGGAGGACGGTTAATAACGGAGTCTTTAAATTCTTACAAAATAAGATTAATAAGAGATCCGTCTACTTCATGTACATCATCCTAGAAAACCACTTATTCATCCTGTCTTGACATCAGTAGCCGGCAAGTTTGCATTCATTCACGTGCTTTTTTTAATAATTTGTTAAAATGAGAGGGACTTCATATACCTCACTGGGCCTAAACGATTTTAACACCATCTTCAAATACATACGTACATATATGCATTTTCTCTTATAACAACAAATTACTAGTTATGAGTACTTATGATAGTTTAAAACATGTACATGACTGATTAAGACAGTCATCTTTCAACCAAAGGGTCGCAGGTTTGAATTCCACTCCAAGTACTTCAATTTGGCCTACCGGGTAGTATCACTTGCCATCACTCCAATAGCCTGACTCAAACCCAACTACATATACCGTCTATAGTAAGTGAATTGTATTAATTTTAAAAAGTTCAAAACATAATATCAATTAATTTTCTGTTTGTTTAGGTAAATACGGTTTCTCCTCAAAATACCGCTTCTGTTGTACATATGTAACCCTGACTTTCCGTTTATGCATCCTCTTAAAATCTTGATATTGTTATCTTTTCCAGAATAGTTACCACTTAAATATTCCGTGCTAGACGGTCGATCCTTTGTTATCGCTAATACTTTCACTTCCCAGTTAATACTAGAGCAAGCCTTTTTATTTACTGTTTATCTATTTCCTTATGGGGTCGCACTCGGAGCCTTCGACCTAAAGGTCTGATCTACAAGGCAGTGGAGCAATGCCAGGAGATGCAGTCGCATGGTAGCCGGTGACCAACAATTGGTTCATACGCCATGTAAGTATATTATAAAGCCACGCCTAAGTGCCTAATAATCGAATACTTTTTGACATGTGCCTATATAATCGCCATGAACGCTGTTTTTTTATGCTGGGTAATTGGAAGCAACTGATAAAGATCTTTGAATGAATTCTTTCTGGTTTCGATTTATTAGTTCTGTTTCACAACAGTTCACAATGAAGTCCGATATATTGATGTTACCAACTTGCTTTCCTCCTCCTTAACATTGGTAAGTAAACTTATAAATATATATATATGGTATTGCTATGGCGTGCATCCCCCGTCTCAACAGTTATTAAAATGCTTAGATATTAATTTACACTCAGTTTAACTTCAGTACAAATTCAAGCAACTCCCCCTGTAGCTCTTCTAGAGTTACTGCTAGTCCCAAGCCCGGGTAAAGGAGGAGAGTTGGGTATGGGGTTAGCGACTCCATCTCGTAGAAAACTAACTCGCTAAAAAAACGCTAACCATAAAAAAGGACCCAATAGGCGCCCAACTTCGAGACCGATAGTCTGAATTCCATAAGGATCGGTCGTGCACAGACCAAATTGCGATACTACGGATCATCGTCGAACAATCAGTTGAGTGGAGCTCGTCACTATACATCAACTCCATTGATTATGAAGAGGCGTTTGACAGTGTAGATAGGAGTACATTATGGAGTTCCTGACAAGATTGCCAACACTATCCGAGCTGGAAAGGATTGCTCAAGACAGGGTTGGGTGGAGTGCTGGTGAGTGGCCTATGCTCCTTCACGAGGAGTAACAGGCGTAAGAAAGTAATAAATTCAAGCACAACTCTTGAACATTCTGCAAGTCGATTATCGAGAAATACCTCTTTAAGAAAGTGTAATATATGCTTGGATGACAATCAGCTGTTCGTTTAATATAGTCATCTGATGGTTATCAGCGAACAAAGACTTAAAGGAAATTAACCAGAATGTTTGCCATACACTAAACTGCTTCATATCATTATCTTCATTCTCAGTTCTGAATCTCTTGTACGATCCCACTATCAATAATGACGAGTCTACTATCATAATAATTGTTATCTTAATTAAGACTATGTCCTATCAGTTCAAACGGTAAGAAAAATAGGGGATAGGGTTACCCGCAGCGGTTTTAATGATCAGTAACTGAGTTCTATTCAGTACTATTAGCCATTTATTCATTCATTTATTGAATGATTTCTGCACTTTAGAATGTAACTTTTATTAGAAATAACGTTTCTAATCATAACTTTCATCATATTTACATTTTTCATCCGGTACGTTTGGAAACACCACACTAACATTTCCATACCAGACAGTTACGGATAATTCCATACTCTTGAAATGAAATCCCTAATGAAAATCACATACCAATATACAGTATTTATTCACTAAATAAATGGAAGATGTTCGAAAGTGCTGGATAACAACTTTGTACTAATCTTTCAATTTATTACTCTAGGTACTAATTTTGATAAATAATTAATAATGTACTTATTTTCAATAATTGTCTAATAATTATTCGTTTTATTTCTAATATACAAACATTAGCAAAACACTTTGTATATTTTGTACTTTCTTATTGTTAGTTTACTACACCTTAATTAGAAGTTTCACTTAAATTTATTTGTTGAATCGTCTACTCGATCATTGAAAAAAACTGACGTTTTGATTGGTCTCGTTTTTCTTGTGTGTGTGGAATTACATTTTTGATGACATCTTGATCATGAATACCAACCAAAGCTTTCCAAACAATTTCTTACAACCACTTGAAAATCATAATCAATTTAAACAGAATATTCTCATAAGTATAAATGTATGATAAACTTATGTTATTGCTATCAACCATTCAACTTTACTTGAATCCTTAGTCACGAAACATGATAATGATTGTGGTTTTGAAATGTTTTATGTATGGATTTCGATTAGCACAAAGTTCTAGAGCTTAGCTCCGGTCACTAACTGGTAGTTGATTCGAATGAGAACTGGAAAATTACACATGAGTATATGCAAGCAGTCAAATACGTAACTTAAATTCAAATTCTTAATATGTTTCCTAAAGTTTTTAAAACGTTTTACTCATAATATTAATTTTCTCAGTGAATGACTCAACAATTCGTCTTAAATCCTCTGATACCTGACAGCGTTACATTGATTGATAACAGAGTAGTGGTCAATATTATATTCGTCTAATCCTTTTGTGATGATGGAGTTCTAACGATCAAGTTGCAATATGGCTAGCAGTCTAAGTGAAACGGTACATAGTTCACTCATGCGGGCAATTCTCAATTTTTCTCAGTACAATTTCGAAAGACGTGGTAAATAAATGTTCATAGAAGAAAGTCAATAATGACGATCATTTTAATCTCAGTTCAAAGTCCCCTTACCACAAAAACAGTAATGTGACTAGTTAGTGATTTCATAATTCTATTAAATAATGTCATAGAAATAGAATGTAACTTCTATAGCTTTCTTATAATTCCCTATTTTAACATTTCGAGAAATTCTCGTGACAAACAATTTGTTTGTACTCGATCTTATGTGTCTCGATTCCTTCTTTTTAGAATATTAAAATGACTATTTTATTATTCCGTAATATTTTTAATCTAGTAAACAGACTAATTAGTTCATAAGATTACAACATTACATATTGTTATGCCTTCAAAGTTTATTAGATTTTGCCTGTTTGATCTGGTTACATGACTATGGAAATCTCCTACGACTAGTTCACTAAGGTCTATCTTACTAATAGGCACTTGACCAGCAACACGGATGGCCAATCACAAAAACCTCAAAACCCAAATTTTATCAGTTCAAAGAGGTCCTCCTACCC